CACATATAAACAAACAGAGGAGGCCTAACACCAAAGGGCATGATGGACCCAGGGCGGATAGCAACCACCCTGGCATCAAGGGACAAATATGTTGATCGTCAATGCTTTCTATTGAGACTTTATGATCAAAGGGGAGAAATAATGAAAGAAATTTTCGCATATTCAGGTTTGGGGACATCACTCTGGCTTATACATGATTTAACTTGAATTTTATGCTAAGAAAAACAGCCTAGCACACATGCATTGTACGTTTGCTTTAATCATTAAAGGAAAGAGCATATTGACCAGAAGTAAAGAATGTCCACGTTAAAAATAAAGATAAATGCCTCCCTTCCTGGGATGCCAATGCTAGCCCTCCTTTGATGATAAGACTCCCTTCCCAGGCGCCCAGGCCATGCTGACTCACTGTGTACGTGCTGATCTGTTTTTTCTCGAAAACTTGAAGGAATGTACCCCTGACTTGTTTGATGTTCTTTGTTCCAAAAATACATAAAACTGTGCTGAAAACCGTGCTTCTTGGGAGCAGTCCCTCAGCGTTATCTGAGAGGCTATCTTCTGGGCTATAGTCCTCAGTTTGGCTCACATAAAATTCTTTTCTATTCCTATTGTAGACTGTTTGAGTATTTCTGTCAACATAAGTCATCAGAGGGGTGTTACTGAATAATTCTGTACTCCACTAATTTTTCATCTGGTCATGTCAGTGATGACCCTTGCCTGAGTCAAGCATTACATTAATGAAGATTTTCTCGTTCTCTCCCTCCTTCTGCATTTATTAGCTGCATTCTTTCCTTCCCCTCACTGACATCTGTGTTCTGTTCACCTAGTTGGTCTGAACTGGCAACAGCGGTAGTTTACATTTGATTTCCCATTTGCTATGATCACTCAGGTTCTCTTTTCTGTGAGCTGATTACTCCCAACTTGGCCCATTTTTCTACACAATTGCTTGCCTTTCTAATGGTATCCTAAAGTTCCTTATACATCCATCCTCCGTGTCTGAGGGGGATTGGTCCCAGGACTCCACAGATACCAAAATCCAGGGATGGTTAAGTCCCTTATATAAAACAGTGATGTGTTTGCAACCTAAGCACATCCTCCTGTGTACTTCAAACCATCTCTACATTATCTATAATATCTAATACAATATAAACGCTGTGTAACTAGTTGTAAATACTACATAAATAGTTGCTGGCATGCGGCAGATGCTAGTTTTGCTTTTGAGAACTTCCTGGAATTTTCCTTTTTGAGCACTTTCAGTCCCAGGTTGGTTGACTCCATGATGCATAGGGCCTACAGTATACACTGAATACTAATTCTTCATCACTGATGTGTGTTACAAATATCTCCTCCCGAGAGATGCCTTGCATTTTCACTCATGGTGTCTTCCGATGCAGAGAAGTTTATTTTTGAAACTTTATTCTTGTTGAATTTATCAGTCTTATGTTTTATGATTTGGGGGGGTTTATGCCTTATTTAAGAAATTTTCCCTGGTAGGAGAGCTTTCTGATTACTCTCCTATAGTTTTTTCTTAAAATTTTGAAGGTTTTCATTTTCAGACTTAGGTCTTTCGATGACCAGGAGTGGATTTTTGGTGGATGGTATGAAGGAGGACAGCACTTATTTTATTTTGTTCTCAGTGGATATGCAGCTGTTTCAGCTGTAAAAGAATGTTGCCCACCACCCAGTTCCACCTACAACACACCCTGAAAGGAATTCAAGGCAAAGATCAGGAATGAGACACTCTGTGCTCTGGGAAAACAGGCAGAACAGGCCCTCAGGTAGTTTGATATTTTCAGGAGAAAATTTATGAACCCAGATTCTTGCATCTTCTCATACTTAGAAAAACACTAAAATCATTAACTGAGATACCTGTTCCTTGTGACCAGCAGCAACCTTCTACCAAGATGTGCTCTTGATGGTACGTACCCCTTTACCAAAATCACGTATATACTGATTGCCCTCTCCTATATCTTTGGAACAGTTCCTCAGAGCTACTGCGATGCTGTTTCCCAGGCTATAGTCTTTAGTAAGACCCCAAATGAAACTGAAACTCACAGCTCTCCCATTGTACGTTTTTATTTCAGTCAACATATCCCATCCTTTCCCCGGTTATTCCTGGCACCATGTCTGCCCGCCATCAAGTTCCCCTGTGTGGGAGGCTTCACTCTCTTTTCTGTGTCCATCTGGGAGCAGACATTCCAGCGGCTTAGGGAACCCAGCTTCACATGGGAGGGTGGCTGGTAGGTCAGATTCCCCAACCTCAGTCTTCTGATATTCAGACCCCATTTCCTTCCACAGGAATTTTAGAATCAGTGTCAATTTACATGGGAATCCATATTGGAACGTGGGTGAGTTGCCCCGAATTCACAGATTAGTTTAGGGAGAACAAACATTTTAAAGATCTTGTGGAACACGGTGACATCTCCAGTGACGTAGCTCTTCTGTAATACTTTTCAATAAAGGGATTTTATTATCACTCTAACTATCTTTCACATCTTTTGTTAGATTTGTTCTTATCCTGTTTTTTTACGTTTCTCTTGTAAATGACATCTTTGAACATTGCCTCCTACCTTTCAATTTTTCTCTCTTGTGCTCACATGCACACATCCTCACTCTTCTTAATTCTAAAAACTTAGAATTGCAGATTTTCCTGGGTTTCCTTATAGACAGTTATTTGATTGTGAATAATGGTAGTTTCTTTTAAGGGACTAGTAGGCAAGAAAACCTTCTAACCTTTTACTATTAAGATGATTTGCTGCAGGATTTTGGAAGATGTCTTCCTCAGGTTGCGGAAATTGCCTTTTATTCCTAATTGACTAAGAATTCGTAAACTGTGTTCTGTGTCATCCAATTTTTTCCCCCAGCCTTTAAACTCTTTATGTGTCATAAATCGTCATATTATTCAGTTGTCTAATATAAAACTCTTTTTGCACTAGAGAGGACCCCCTTGGTCATGATGTAATTTTCAAAATCTTCGTATTTTTTGGTGGGGAGTTGTTTAATTGTTGGTTCAACATCTTTAAGATGAAGTCAGTGTATTCGAGTTTCATGCTTCAATGTGGTAAAGTCTGTTTCCCCTGGAAACTGGCCACTTTATCTAGGTTTCATATATATGGTCACAGAGTTGTCTATGCTCTGCTCTTACTGCTAATTCAGTCTCTGCCACCTTTGTCACATGCTCTCTCTTCATTTCAACGTGCTTTATGTCTTCTCCCCTTCCTACCTGATTTTCATGCCAGATGTTGGACTGTTTTATCAGTCCTTTTGAAGAGCCAATTTTTTTCTCTGTTGACCTTCCCTGCCAATTTTGTTTCTTTATTTTACTGTCTTCTTCTCTTTTCCTTACTCATTTCCATGCTTCTCTTACTGTTTTAGTTTTTTGTTCCTTTTCTAACTTCTTGAATGTGATGTGTAACTTATTAAAAATATGGGTCTCCCCCAACCCCAACCTTCAGGCCCTGACATTTCCCCGCAGGTCTGGAGTCAGCAGCACCAAGTTCTGCTCTGGTCCCGCATTATCGCTCAGCTCCAAGGTGCTTCCCAAGTCCCATCCCAATTTCCTCTGTGACTCCTCATCTATTCAGTGTGTTTTTGCATTTCTAAACGTCCGCTAATAAGCTACCTGCCCTTGGTTCTGACTGGGCCGCAGATCGTTGGCTGGGACATTCCCATTAGAGCCTGAGACTTGCTCTGAATCCTCCTCTATAATCTGCTTCTGAAATGTTTCACACGCCGCTCTAGATTGGAGGAACCGTGGTCCATCAACCTCCATCGGTCGAGTCTAACTGTTTTCTTTGAACCTCACATGCCTGCCCCCTCAACTTAGATCCTCCTGACCTCTCTGTGACTGTGAGACGTGCTTGAAAATCTCCCACTCAGATCCCGGACTTGTTCATTCCCTGGGCTTCCGCCATGTGTGACTCAGCGCACGTTGCTCTGAATCTGTACAATCTCGGTGAGCTGGATCTGCTTCTCACATGTGCTGACCACCTCTCCCCAGGGCAGCTTGAGTCCCGTTAGTTCTGTGCGAGTGGAGGGACAGTGCTGGGGGTCAACGGACCCCACCATTTACTACATGAAGGTGTTCATCTTCGAATCCCTGCAGGAAAGCACAGTGGCTGTGCTCAGGGTATTTACACCGACTGCAGACTGCCCTGTCATGGGGGTGGGGAGGGGCGCAGTCCACGCATATCTATGGATGTATATGCGGGGGAGGGCACGTGAGGGGGCACGGATGTGTGCGTTGGGTTGCATGCCATGTGCCATCTGGGCGGGCAACCTCGTTGTCGGGGTCCCGGCCCCCACGGCGGGCTGATCGGAGATGCTCCCTACTTTCCACCGCTCTGCAGAGCCTTCCTAGGGGGCGGGTCCAGACTCCGGCAACTTCCTCTGTGGATACTTGGCTGTGCGAGCTCCTATGTCTTGATCCAATTTTTGTGATTTATATTTTCCATAATTCTATTTGGTCAGGACTTTCAGACTTATTACACAGTGAGCACTGTATTCTCAGATAATATAGAAAGAACGGTCTGTGTTTGCTGTGTCTGCTCCCTGAAATGTGCTTTTCCACTCCTTTCCTGGGGCTGTGTGCACCTCTCGTGCTCTGGACTCTCCTTCCGCCCCATCTCTGGGGGACGTTTGTGAAGTGTCCCACTGTGCCCTGGGCCTGCCTCCCAGACCCCCTGCAAAAGCCAAGCTCTACCGCCCCAAACCAGCTTCAGAGCTGACCTGGGGGGCTGGGCGCTGGGGTGGAGAACTGAGCAGTGTGTGGGCTCTCGGAATGGAGACAGAAGGTTCTAGGGGTGAAAACCCGTTGACAGAAGTGGAAGCCACTGGCAGAGCCGGTGGGTGTCCGGGGCATAGCGTTCACGGCACAGTAGAGCCATGGCCCCGCGGTCTCCTGAGCTGACCCCCTAAGATGACTGCCCAGGGTCCTGCGGGCACCCTAGCTGCAGAATGGCCACCGCCCCCCAGGGCCCCATCCATGAGCCAGGGCACACCTGTCCGAGGGGAGTCTGCTAGCTTTATTTACAGACCCCAGAGGTTGGGGGCAGCGCGGACAGAGACACAGGAGGTGCCCGGGAGCTGGATGCCTCCACGTGGGCCCCACAGGCTGAGGGTCTCTGCCTCTGGGAACTTCTTCGGCTGCTTTACTTCCAGCGCCCGCCGACTTTGCCCTTGGCCGTGGTCCCGGCCTTCTTGCTGCTACAAATGGGAAGCAAGGTGGTCTTGAGCATGAGGGTATCCGGGACCCTGGCCAACCCCTCCCCTGGCCCCTGGCAGCTCTGCCCGGCCCGGCTCTGGAAGCCCCAGCGCGTCCCCCAGCTCCAATCCAGCAGCAGTGACTCACCTGTACCTGCCTAGCCAGGCTCGGGCGGCTTTGCGCAGAGGGAGTCAGTGAGGCTAAGTGGGGGCTGGCGAGAGCCTGGTCCCCCTCCCCCTCCCTCCCTCCCCCACCCGAGGGGCTCGAGACACAGGCGGCAGGGAGACTCTGGGGCCCTACGTCAAGCAGACCGCGTGGGAAGCTGCCACCTTCCCAGCTACTTTGTCCTGAAAAGAGTCTCTGCGCCCTGAGTCACAGCCTCCTGGGGCAGTGGGCTATTCTGGTCCTGCACTCCAGGCCAGCAGTCCCAGCCTGGTGGACTCGGCAGCAGGGAGGGTCTTGTTCCAGAATCAGCCACTGGCTAGAACTGGACCCTGGGGTCGGGAGGTCCCACCCCAAGGGACGGTGGTCCTAGGAACCCGCTGCATCTGGCTGAGCCCTCTGCACGCCAGTGAGCCGGGAGCGAGCTGGGGGCGAGTTAGGATGGGCTGGTGATCAGAGCTCTTTTTTGGGCTTCAGACTGGAATGGGCCCTGCAGCTCCCAAGGCTTCAGGAGAAGGCCCGGCGCTGGGGCTGTGCCCACAGCCTGAGAACCCTCCCAGCCATGCACACGCACGCACACACACGTGCTCATGCACATACCTGGCCAAACGGCCCCCTCTCAAAGGGACCTGCAAAAACCCCTGCCCTGCACGGAGGCAGGGAGGAGGGCACGTCTCCTTCACCAGCCCCACTGCCCACCTTGGGGCGTGCCCCATCTGGGCCACCAGGCTCCGGGACAAAATCCCTCTCCGGGCCTTACCCAGCAGTTATTGTAAAGGGTCCCATGGACCCCGAGGGTCCACTGTCCTGAGGAACCAGTGATTTCACCCAGGGCCACGGAGGAGCTGGTGACAAAGCCCAGGCCCCCTGATTCCTGGTCCCAGGTCACCTTTGAAGTGACACGCTGCTGGTACGTCCAGGAGCCCAGTCTGGCTTCACCAGGCCACTTTGAAGGCTGCCCAGGGGGCTCCTGCCAGCCCTCCCCCAAGCTGCCATCCTTCTGGGCTCTGGGGTTAGGGCTGAGAGGAGGCTGTGGGTCCAGGGGTGCAGGGTCCCGACATGCTGGCCCAAGTGACCTTCTGGCTAGTCCTGTTACTACCCTGCTGAAGGCCAGCTGCCACCGACACAGGCTGAAATCGCCAGAGCCCTGGCGCGCCCGTGGCAGCTGACCCGTGGGGCCGTGTGTCCCGTGCAGAGCAAGGGACAGGCAGAGCTACTCACTGCTTCTGGGCCTGGTCGATGCGGCTCCTGAGGTTGGTAATCTGCAAACAACACAGGCGACTTACCTGCCGCGTCCAAGCAGGGCCAGGCCGGGGAGTGGCCTCCTGCCCTGTGGGCCCCTCGGCGGCCCTGGCAGGTCTCGGCGCTCTTACTGCGTCCCGGCTCCTTTGGTTGGAGGACCCTTGGGCTTGTGCCTCCGACCTACTCTTGATGGCCCGAGCTGGAGACCTGGGCTATGACACACAGCAGCCCAGGAGCTGCCACTTACCTTCCAGACTCTGCGGGATGTGGGGCAGGGGGCACGGGGCGGAGGCGAGGCTTGCAAGCAGAGCCCCTACCTGGTGGGCCCGAGCTCAGAGCCCTGCGGCCTCTCAGTCCTCCGCCCAGCTGCTCTCTCCTGCCGACTGCCCGGGAGGAGGCTGGGGGAAGGCAAGGCCCGGCCCCCGCTGCCAGCCGAGACAGCAGGTCGGCCTCAGCAGCCCCCAGGTGGCAGGCAGGGGGGAGGAGGAAGGCGGGAGGAGAAGAGGAAGGCCTCCGGGGTCTCCGTGCCCCCTGCCGCCGACACCTGCAACGACCCAGGTTTTCGCCATGCGAGAGGCCCACCGTGCATGAACACTCAGAGCCCGGTCCAGGGTGGACCCCGGCTACTTACAACTTGGCCAGCATCTCCACTCTGGCCCGGACGTTCATGATCTAGAAAGACCGAGACGGTTAGGGGGCTGGGTGGGCAGTTGAGGCTTCGGCACCCACCGTGCGCTGGGCTATTCTGGGCCAGGGCTCGTGTGTTTCTTTTAGCGCCCGGGGACCCATCGTGGGCCATGCACAGTCTATCAGGCAGCAGTTCGGCCCTGGCTCAGCCTCCTGGACAGGAGTAGGGCCGCTCTGGGCTCTCTCTGAAGCCCATTTCCGAGGCCGGCCCTCCCAGGGGAGTATCAGCAGAGAGCCGTGATGCCCCCACGCCTGGTCCTGCCTGCAGGCCGGCAGCGATACACAGGCCCCTGGGGGTGGCCTGGGAGGGGCGTGGTCCTGCTCCAGTTAGAGGTGGGGAAATCGAGGTGCAGGAAGACCAGGCAACTCGCCCAAGGGCACCGGGATCCTGAGAAGGAGGCAGGACTTGCCTGTCTGTCAGTACTGGTCTCCCACACCCTCCATCTCAGGGGCCAGTAGAGGAAGCTGGGAGAGGTGCCCTGAGAGTGGAAGGTCCTTTCCCCGGGACCTTGGAGGCCAGAAGGGTCTGTGCTTCACGCAGCGGGTCCTTCCCCAGGACTGGTGCCCCCAGCCCCACCCCCAGGCCCAGACTCCGAGGGACGGTGTCCACCCAGGGCTGCCATCCTGAGTCGTGAGCCCCTCTCAGGCAACTCCTGGCGCCCAGCCCCCGGGGGAGGGGCACTGTCCCAGCCCCCTCCCCAGCTCTGAGCTTGGGGGCCTGGGAGGGGACTGGGGAGGACCCCCACCACAGAGGAGCTTGGTGCCAACCTGGTGGGCTTGGGACACTGCTGGCTTTCCACGGTCTCCCCCCAGCCCCCCGAGGGCACTCTGCCCCAATGCTCCCTCCCGCCAGCCCTGGGAGCCAGAACGATGTGGGGAGACTGGCCTGGAGGACACCCAGGCAGGGCCCCCGCAGGACAGGGGCCTCGGCGGGGTCCGGGGGGACTCGGGGTGCCCAGGGGTGCCCGCCGGCAGACGAGGGCACAGGAGCTTAGCTCACTTCGTATTTCTGCCGCTTCAGCTTCTCCGCGTACTCAAACTTGTTGGTCTCCAGCTGGTACAGGGTTTCCCAGAGCTCCTTGGCCTTGTCCCTGGGGAGGGAGCGGCAGAGAGGGAGGTTGGCAGGTCAGCCCCGGGAGGCTGGGGCCGGGCCCCCCCACACCCCGAGGGGCGTCCTCACGTGAGCTTCTCCTCGCTGAGGTGGTCGATGTTGAGGGGCTTCCGCCGCTCGGCCAGGACTTTCTTCTTCATCTCCCGGGCCGTCTGCTTCTTGCCTCTCTTCTGGTCAGCCTGAGGGGACACGACAGTGGGGACGTGGCACGGCCGGCCTGAGGGCGTGGCGGGGACCCCCGGGCCACAGGCCCCGTGCTCACCTTGGCCAGGTAGCTGCTGTAGTTGACGCCCATGGAGGACAGGGCCTTCTTCTTCTTCAGGTCGTCCTCGGCCTTCCTCTTGGCGTCCTCTTCCTCCCGCCGGGCTTTCTCCTCCTGCGGAGACCCCACCCCAAGACCTCAGGGCAGGCATCGAGGACTGCCTGGGCTTGGAACCTTCTGGAAGGTCCAGGTCCTGGTCGGGTCAGCCCTCTCGCGGGGGTCCTGCAGGGCGTGGGGACCTTAGCCACCGGCCCGGGTCCTTGGCCGGCGTCAAGGGGAACGTCGGGAGAAGAGGGGTCTGGGAGCCCGGCGTTTCTGGGGCCGGGGGCTGGGGGGGTGCCTCACCGCCAGCCTGTTCTGACGCTCCCTCTCCTTCTCGGCCCGGATCCTCTGCTGTTCAGCTCTCTCCGCACGGCGCTTCTCCTGCAGCCGGACGAGGGCCGGGTCACTGCGGCCTGGCCACCCCGGGCCCACGCCCGCCCACGGCTGCCGGCACTCACGATTCTCTCCTTGAGCGCGACCAGCTCCTCTTCCTCCTTCTTCCGGGCCTCGAAGTGGCTGTCGATGAGAGCCTGCAACTCCATGAGGTCTTTGTTCTGCCGCTTCTTCTGGATGTCCTGTGTGGAACAGGCCTGTCAGCCCCAGCCCTCCTCCGGAACGCCGGGCTCCCTGGCCCTCCTGGGGGCTGGCGGCTGCCTGCTCCCTTAGCCACAGGGTAGGAGCGGTGCCCTCCCCGTGGTGAGTCCAGGCCGGGCACGGCCCTGAGGTCAGTCAGCCCCCCTGGGACGGACTGGCCCTGACATGGCCCCGTTGTCGTGCCCAGAGGTGCCCTGCGTGGATCGGGCAGGGAGGAAATTGGGGAGTGAGGTAGCCTGTTGGATACACAGATGGATGGGTGGGGGAATGGATGGGTGAGTGGATGGGTGGGTGGGTGGGTACGTGGATGAGTGGGTAGATGAGTGGATGGACGATGGGTAGATAAATGGATGGACGGATAGATGAATGGATGGATGAAGGCTATAGATGGTTGGAGGAAAGGACAGATGGGTGGATGCACAGACGGATGGATGGGTGGATAGATGGTTGGGTGGGCGGAGGATGGATGGATAGGTGGGTGGGTGGGTGGGTGGAGGAAAGCATGGATGTGTAGATCAGTGGGTGAGTATCTGGTTGAGTGGATGGATGGATGGATGGATGGATAGATGGTTGGGTGGGCGGAGGATGGATGGATAGGTGGGTGGGCGGGTGGGTGGAGGAAAGCATGGATGTGTAGATCGGTGGGTGAGTATCTGGTTGAGTGGATGGATGATGGGTGGATAAATGGATGGGTGAGTGACGGATGGACGGACTGATGAATGGAGGGATGAAGGATACAGACGGATGGAGAAAAGGACAGATGGATGGACGCACAGATGGATGGATGGGTGGGGGAGGAGGGAAGAAAAGTATCTATTACTGGAGGAGTTTCTTCCGGTCCAGGAATGAATTAAAGCAGAATTGCATGGAACCAGGGAGCCTGAGCTCTGGCTGCTCTAGAGGAGGTGACCTCCTCGGGCTTAGCCTGCAGCCTGGAAGCTGGGGGCTGCGGGGAGGGTGTGTTGATCTGGGTCCCCGAAACTTACATCAAAGTCTACTTTCTCCCCTTCCGGGATCTTAGGAGCCGTGAGTCTGAAGAAGAGAGAGAGGCTCATGAGTGGAGACGAGTGGGGACCCCACCGGGACAGCTGGCCTGACCCAACCCGGCCTGGCCCTCCCGCCTTCAGCCTGGCACCTGGCTGAGGACGCACTGCCTGACCTTTGCTCTTATCACACATATAACCTACTGTCCCCAGAATGGCTTGACCCTTCGAGGAGGTTTCAAGCATCCCTCTGTTTTGCCAACTTCTGGACCTCGCAAGAGCTGTCTCACCCCCCTCTGTCCAGGAAGGGTAGCCTAGCTTTCTTTCTCAAACAAATAAACAAATGTGGCGAGGTCAGACCAGAGGGCAGGGTGGTCACCGCACACCCTCCCGGGGCCTTTGGCCTCTGCGGTCAGGAACGGCTGTCTCGGATGACCCTTTGCGTTTCTCTGGCCTCTCTTTGATCTTTCTTTCTGGGGACCCAGAGGAAGGGGGGCTGGGCAGAAAGCAGTGCGAAGAAGAAATGAGACCTCTCCCTGAATCCGGCCGGCTGCAACAGCCGTGCTCTCCACCCTCCCCTGAATACACTTCAGATGGAGCAAAGAGTTAGATCAACAACAACAACAACAATTTCTTCAAAAAAGAAGAAAGTGGAGCTGAGCATGGACCGGGATGCTGGCGCAGGAAAGGATTGTCTAAGCTCGGAAGGTCCTGCTCGGCAACTCCATGCAAGTGAAAAACTTGCGGACATGGAAAAAGACACAGCGCAAAAGGGGGAAAGAAAAACCAGACTAGAAAAATCTTTTCAGCAAATACAGAGAAGACTTATATCCTTATGCAAACTGATGATTAAGAAAACACAGAGACACCCCCGCCGTTAGATAAACGGGCAGAGAGCGTAAGCTAGCAGCTCCCCAAGAAGAAAGACCACCAGTCAACACACGAGGGAAAGGCCATCAAAGGAATGCGAAGGAAAACAACCCAGAGAGGCCGTTTCTCATCCATCCGTCAGAGGCTCCGTGTGCAGGCACGTCGCGGTCCCCGGGCATGCGGCGTGGAGACCGCGCTGGCGGCCCTCGTGGAAGCCGTTTGGCAGACGATATCAAAAGCCTTAAGAACGTTCCTACTCTTTGACCCAGTAATTCCATTCTGGGAATGAGGCCTAGGGAAATAACCCGAAAGACAGAAAATGCTTTCCACCCAGCGTTATTTATGATAGTAAAACATTGGGGAAAGCCTTAATATCCTGCAATAGAGGAACGGTTAGGAAAATTATGGTTTGTCCAATTGATGGAATATTATGTGGCCATTCAAAATATTTAAGAAGACTATGTAAAAACATGGAAAAATACTTAGAAACAGCGCTGCATTTTAAAAAAAGAAGAATTCAAGGCTGTATAGACAGGACGATGTGTGAAAAACAGCTCAGTTTCAGTCTTTTTTTCCGAGCCTGATGCATGGAAAAAGAGTAGGAAGAAATAAGGCCTTTTTATTCCTTTCTACTCTTTTCCGCAGTCTGGCAGGCGGGGTGGGAGAGTTATAGATGATTTTTTTTCATTGGACTTTTACGTATTTTCCAAATTTTCTTTAATGAGGTGTTTTATTTTCATAATGAAAACACAAACATTTTTTTAAAACTAGAAAATATCTTGTGACCCGGCAGCTTTCTTTAAAACTGCTGAAAAATAAAGTGTAACGGACGGAAATGTGCTGGCTATACGTTCACATATTTCCAGTCTTCTTTGGAGAGTCCGTAAGGCTCCCCTAAGTGGGAGTGAACACTTGGCGTGCGCTCATACGCGCTGACATTCCATCCCGTGCAGAGCAAAGGCAGGCATGAATCCTCTGAAGGATGGGGGGGTGAAGCATGTGCAAAGTGCCGTGGCTTCATACGTACTTATCAGAAACAGAAAAGTCAGGAAAGTCGGATTAAAACAAAACATCTCTGAACCACCCACTGACATGTGGGCAAAACGAGAGAAAGAAAGTCCCTTCGAGCAAGGAAGATGGGTCCCCAGAGAGGGTCGAGGCCCCCGTGAAGGGAGGGATCGTGGCTGCGGTCAAGGTTTTGTTCCCAAGTGGATTTCAGGGGTGAGACCCTCCTTCCCACCGCCCCACTTTCACGCCTATTTCACATCTAGGGCCCTGGGAGATGGAGGGCAGCAGGCCGGTACAGGGGGGCCGGAGAGGGCACAGGGAGCTGCGTGGGGCCTCCCTCTCTCTGCCCTGTCTTCCCCAACTTCCTGCACCCCTTCCTCCCTCCGTCCATTGTCTCCTCCTGCAGGAAGCCCTCCTTGCCAACACTGGATGATCCGGGGCAGAACCACGCCCGACTGGACTTCCAGAGTCTGTCTCTGCCCGTCTCTGGGAGGTCTGACCCCCACCTGTGTGTGTGGGGGGGGCTGTCCCCAGTGACCCCATTCCCATGATGCCTCAGCAGAAATCTGGAACCTTCAACACCAAACCAAGGAGCAAAGAAGCAGCTGCTGCTCTCAGGGGGTGGGGTTTCCAGAGCCTGATGCACTTTGCTGCTTCCTCGGGGGCCTGGAGCCCAGCCCTGGGGCACCTGGTTCCGCAGGTGGCCTCGGGCCCCGTCCAGCCTGCCCACCAGGGCTTCTCCTCCAAGCCTGGGCTCCAGGCCTCACCCTGCCCGCCCCACCCGCCCGACGTCCATCCCTGCCCACCCCACACTCACTTGAGTCTTGGCTTCTCCTCTGGTCAGCAGGGCACCGGCGTGGGGAGAGGGGAGAGGGGAGAGAGACCAAGTGAGATGGACAGCGCACTCCGGCCACCGGGTCCCTGGGGGCTCAGGCTGGGGGCAAAGACCCCACCAGGGGCAAAGGGGGTCTTGCCCCCACTCTGGGCCCACGGAGTTCCCTGTGGGGTCTGAGGAGAGGAGCTCGGGTGCGGGGCCCAGGACACCGGCGGGAGAAGCGAAAACGGAGCCCAGACATAGAGCATCCTCAGGGGGCAGAGGCAGGAGAGAAAGACCAGAGATGGCGGTGGGGGGGGCGGGGGGGGGGCAAAGACCGGGGGGGGGGGGAGCATTCCCCTGCCCAGGCTCCGGTCTGCTGGCCGTTCCCCACTGACCGCCCCATCATGGTGTCAGGCAGCGCTAAGTCCCGAGGCAAACGCAGAGCGAAGCGGCAAGGCCTGGCCTTCGGAGGCCCCGGTGCTGGGAGAAGAGGACAGACAGGCGGGCAGGCGCGTCTGCGGGTCTGTGCGGACGAGCTGCGTGTGGCCAGGGGCCTTACCTGCCTCACCCTCCCACCCTTCCTCGGCATCTTCAGGAAAGTGCACACGCAAGAGGAAGCGGCAGGGCAGCAGGGGTGAGTCGGGGTGCGAGCAGGGGTACGGGTGAGGGCCCAGGGCCGACACCAGCCAGGGGGCACACCCCGACCCCTCTTCCCCTGGGTGTGCATTGGCCTGGACCCTGTTTGTGACCCCAGCTGAAGGCCAGAGAACTTGCGTCTGGGTAGGGGCTGGAGGAGCTGTGCGGCCAGGATGCCCCAGGAGAGACCCGGCCCCACCCTAGGAGGCGGTGGCTGGAGAGGCCGCTGACGGCCTGTGGGTGCTGGCTGCCGGCTTCTTTGAGTCTTTCCACCGGGGGTGAGCGGTTCTGGGGACCGAACGCCTGGGTTTGGTTGGGCTGAAGCCCGAGGGGGTCTGGAACAACTCGGTTAATAAAGCTTCTTGGGGCCTCAGACCTGGTCAGTCCCAGCCCAAGGAGACGAGGGTGCTCACGCAGAGCCCCGAAGGGCCCTGCGTCCGCTCGGCCCCAAGGTGGGGGCTCCTGACTCCCAAGGGAGCCTGTCCCAGCCCCTTAAGAGGCTTCTCTTGCAGAGCCTGGCTGGGCCATCTCACAGGACTGGGCTTACGACAGGTGGCCTGTCCGGGCTGCAGCCCTCAGACCTGAGACCCCACCTGGCTGGGCTAACCCAGCCACCCTCACGTGGGGGGCTGCTTCATTTGACCCTCCCTGCCTCCCCGGGCCCTGGGGAGGTCCTGGCCGGCCTGGATGCAGCCCGGGATCTGCAGGGGGCCTGGCAGCACCCTAGCCCCATCCTTCAGTCCCTGCCCTGGGCCCTTTGGTGGCAATGACGCCTGGCCGTCAGCCTGTCTGAACCGCCAACGCCCCCTGCACTTGGTCTGGCCCCAGGCCTGTTGGGGGTGGGAGGGCCTTGGGCAGGGTCTCCCCTCACATCCCCCTCGGCTCACAGATCGCACGGTTCCTTAGCACCCAACCCCACTCCCACAAAGAGCGCCCCCAGCCCCCTGGCACGACTCAGTTTTTAGGCGGGCCTGACGTCACTTCCCCCCGCACCTGGTGGGGGGCTATGAGCTTGGGGAGACCGAGGGAGACGGCGCTTTGGGAGCAGACGCCAGGGGAGGGTGTGGGGGGAGGCCAGGTACCACGCAGCAAAGCTCCCCAGGCAGCAGGCAGGCGGGCAGCGGCCTCCATCGCCAGCCCTGTCTGTCTGTCTGTCTGTTGGCCTCAGGGCCGGTTCCAGGGTGACCTGGTGACCTTGTGGCCACCACAGCCCCTGCTCGCACCCCGGTTCCTGCAGGCTCAGCATTCGCTGCGCGACCCTCAGGGCCGGCACATCCCTTTCTCTTACAGGTGGCCTCGCTTCGGGGGCTGTGCTCCAGGTTCTGGCCCAGCCGGGAGGCCCCCTGTGGCCCCCTGAGACACCGTGTGAAGGCCGGGGCTGCCCGACTAGGGCGCTGACTTGAGCCCGCACCGCCGTCACCTCCACCCCGGGTAGGGCAGGCCCACCCAGGGGGCCTCCTCGCGCCTGGGTGTGTCTGGCTCCAGCCCCGGCGATGGGTGGGATGTGGGACCTGACTGATTGCTCGTTTGCACGCAAGGCCCCCAGCTGTTCCGGGTCCCCGACATCCCCACCTCAGCCTCAGCCTGACTTTCTGCTTCACCCCACTTGCCTCTCCACCCTTCCTTTAGCCCCCGCCTTACTTCCCCTCTCTGCCCTGCTATCTGGGGCAGGGCGGAGGCCACCTGCCCTGCCTCTCCTCCTCTGCTCTTCCCCACCCAGCCCTGGTGGATCCCGAGGGTCCCAGTGGACCCCAGCACAACCCTCTCGAGGCCCATACCCGTCTCAGGCCCTACACTCGGCTCTGCTCTTGACCTCGAGGCTGACCGCCTCCATCTGCCTGCCGGCGACCCAGGAACGGCCTCGTGCCCCCAGCCCTGAAGGCCCTCTGCCTGCTTCCCGGCAGCCAGTCCCGCCTGAGCCAGCGCCCCAGGCCTGACTGTCCCCACCCTGTCCCCAGCAGGAATGGCAGCGAGAGTCATGCAGGGAAGGAGGAAGAAGTGGTGGGGGCTCAGGCCCCGGTACGGGGACTGGCGTCGGGGGCGAACCTACCTTCCTGGACTTCCTCTGCAAAAGCGGCACCGTGGGGGGAAAGGGGGGGAAGAGAGAGAACCAGCTGTGAACCTTGGGGCAGAGGCTGAGGGGAGGGGAGCCGCGGGTGAGCGGAACACACGGTGAGTAGGTTACGCGGCCCCTCTCGTTCTTCGCGGCCGGGAGGCAGCTCACACCCGCACACGGCCACGTGTGCACATGCGCCCACACGAGACTGAAGTCATGGCACCTACCTGGTTCATGAACTTCATGGACTAAGGAGGCCATGCGTGGGTCAGGGGTCAAAGGAGAAAGGATCCAAGGTTAATGGAGACAGCCGGTGGCCATGGGAGGGTCAGTGGCCGAGGCCGAGGGGTGGGGAGGGTGCGAGGAGTGAGCGAGACAAGGGCAGTGCTGGCCCGGGGCAGCGTCCCCCCAGGTCCCGTCCCTGCCTCTCCTCGGAGTTTCCCGCCCCGCTCTCTGCTCCTGTCAGGACTTCACTGCTGGGCACGGGGCTGTCGGGACCCTGCCTGCCTCTGCCGCCTCCCCTCTTCCCGCCTTCTTCAGGCCCCCAGAAGACTTCCATGCAGGGGCAGGGCTGTGACCCGGCGGGGTGGGACCAGGGGCTGGGGGCCTGTAGCCCAGGAAGCTTCCTACCAGCCCGAGAGTGGGGGACACGCCTGCCAGGGCGCTCGGGCAGCAGGCGCCAGCCCTCAGCTGCTCTGACCAAGGACCCAAGCACGGCTGGGGAGTGACAAGGGCTCCGGCGGGGGGCTGACGGGCCCGGCTCAGGGCGCTGACCGCGGGGCCTGCCCCGCCATCGCCCTGTGCTCACCGAGATCCAGCCCGGGTCCCCGGCCCTGCCGAGGGGTCAGGCGCTGCGGGGCTCTGAGGTACCCACCCTGGGGTGGAAGGCTGGCTTCAGGGCTGTCTCCGGGGCAGCTAGGTCTACATCTGGTCCAGCAGTCCCCCCACTGACCAGCCCTCCCTGGGCCAGGGGGTGGAGGACCCCGTCTGCCACCCTGCCCATGTTTGGGGGTGCGGGCCCTCGGGGCCCCCTATCTGGTCAAGCACTGGCCGTGGTTAATGGGTTACGCTGGGGCCACATGTGGGGGCCCCTTGGCTGGCTGGCACCTGACTGTTCCCCCCCGCCCCCCGCTGCGTGTCCCAGCCAGCCCCGGGCGCCCCATGTGGCCAGAAGCCCTGTGTCCTCGTACCTTCCTCGTGGACCTCATGGGCTTCTGCAGGCGAGGGGGGCGCTGGGTGTGCGGTGGCAGGAGGAGAGAGGAGAGGTTAGGCCAGGAGCACACTGCACGTCCTTAGGCGGGGGAGGCACGCAGGGTCACTGAGGTCGGGGGGCAGAGGGCTGGAGGGTGGGCGAGGGGCTGGGGTCCTGGACCCCACTTACCTTCCTCCTGGGCCTCTTCTGAGGAGGGAGCCAGAGGGTGCAGGAGGGAGAGAGGGAACAGGACAGCTGTTAGGGGCCACGTGGTGGGGGCGAGGAAGGGAGGCAGTCCCAGGTGCAGGGGAGGGTGGTGGGCAGCAGGCGCTCCAGGGACCGGGGGAGGCTGGCCCTGCTTCAAGGGCCTGCAGGACCTCAGAGAGCTCAGGCCTCGGCCTCGCCTCTGCAGTGTGACCTCCTCCCAGCCCTGGGGGTCTCCGAGCCCCTTCCGCATCCGCGGGGAGCCTGCTCTGGACTGCGGTGCCTGTGCACCGGAGGGTCTCGCTAAGTCTGACTCTGAAGGTGTCATGGGACAAGCCCAGGAGACGTGGGCCTGAACGCGGGCGGCCAAGGCCGTTCTTAGAGGACCCAGCTCGGGGGACCTGTGCCCCCGGCCCCGTCGCCTTCCCTGGCGAAGGGCGGCTCCCGGGGCCACGGCTCCCTCTCAGAAGGAGTCTTTCTACCTTTTCAGCCGAAAAAGAAATGTTTTGCTCACGTTGTTAGGGCAGCCAAGTGTTTTCAAAATATTTTCAAAACCTAGCGCCCAGAACGCCCCACAGGAGAAGCCTGCCTGGTGGAGTTCGGGAAAGCCTTCCCGCGGTTGAGCGGGTGCCAGCGGCCGCGCACGAGCGCCCGTCGGGCCTGAGAACCACCCGTGCGCGCCCTTCCCAGGGGCCGTGGCTCCGCTCCCACGCCTGCCTGGGCACGGCCCACCAGGAGGCTCCCACAGACTTGGGCTAGGGAGGGGTCTCCAGATCCGCCTGGAGGTTCCTGCTCCCAGAGGGAGGGGGGAGGGGAGGATGCTGGGAGAAACAGAGAGAGACACAGAGACGGAGACACAGGCAGAGACAGAGAGAGGCAGAGCTGTGGAGAGGCAGGCAGGGCCCACACACCCAGACTTGCTATTAACGGGGTGAGCGTCTTCACAACCAAATCCCAGGTAGCTTCACACACCATGGACACCGTGGATGAGGTTATTATGTATAAGTAACACATAACAATGCAAAAAGTATTAATGAGGGATCAGTGAGTGCTTCCTGTTCATCGAGTATCGAGGTGGGCAGTTGGGGTGATGGCAAGTGGGGATTAAGGATGAGGAAGGTGGACAGTTACTTGGTGAGTCTGTGGGGGGGGACTGGAGGCCCCCTGGGGACGAGAGTGGACATGTGGGGCGGGGGGACTTCCGGGGCTACCTCGGTTACCGTCCCTCTCTACTCCTCTGCCAGGGGTAGAGCAAAGGAGAGGGGCCAGCTAGAGGGCGCGCCGGGGACCAGCCTGGGAGGCGAGGAGGGTGGCGCCCGCCTGCCCCGTCGCCCACTGCCACGCCACTCTGGCCGGCCAGAGAGGGGCCCAGGAGGAGGAAGAGGCTCTGGCGGTGACTGTGGCTCCCGGGGAGGGGTCTGGGCTGCGGAGGCCCAGGTCCTATCCTGGGAGGGCGGCCCCGCTGCCCAGACGAGCCTGCAGTGCAGGGACTGGGCCTCGGGCCCTGGCCTTTGAGAAGAGGTGCAGGGGCAGGAGTGGGAGCCCATTCACAGAGGGGGCGATCGGACGCGGCTTCCAACGGGGGCTCCCTGGGAGAGGCTCCAGCAGCGGCTGGCCCTCCCCACCTGGACTTTCTGTCTAGAGGCTGATGCAGAGACAGTCTGGCTTCCACACTTACCCTCGACGTGTTCACTGTGGGGGAGAGAGGGGGAGGGGGGTGAGGGGGGTGGGAGCTCTCGGCGGGGGGTCCTTTGACCTCTGAGCACAGCCGAGGTCCAGGGGTCCCGAGGCAGGGCGGGTACTCACACTTCCTCGTCAGACATGGTGGGTGGGTGGTTTCTGCAGGGGTGGAGGGAGACCGGGGTGAGGATTACGAATTGCCTTGACCTAGAGGGGCTGGAATGGGTGGGGGATGGGCCCTTGGAGTGGGGCTGCAAGGGGACGCCCGTCAACAGGGGTCTTGGGCCAACTCTCCGGCCTTGGGCGGGCGGCTCCTGCGCTCGGGGCCTCCCCAGCAGGCCGCCTGGCTTCCTCCAGGGCTCCAGGCCCCCCAGCCCTCTTCGCCCCTGATCTGATCCCATTCCGCCCCCCTTCCTGCCCTGGCTCCAGCCTGGAGCTTGGACTCCCGGAGCTGGACGGGATGCTGGAAGGTCGTGGCAGGGCAGACATCCTCTCTATAGCATTCCCCGAGGAGGGTCATCCAGGATGCACGCAGCTCGTCCAGGCCGGCGGGGGGCGGGGGCGGGGGCCCGCGGGCTGCTCTGCACCGCGGAGCCGTGCTGCTGCTGCGGCCTCAAAACCTCCCTCTTGGTGGTCTCTGCTCTCGGGCCTAGATGCGGGGGGCTCCCAGAGAGCCCCCAAATTACAGAGCTTGGCACCTCCGAGTGGGAACCTTGGACCTTCCCTGGCCTTTCCGCCCGCCATCCCCACAAGGCCCCCTCCTCAGGTGTGAGCCCAGGCTCCCTTCTCTGACTGACGCTTTCCCGTTAGGACCCCGTGTCCTCTTATGGGGGTGCCCAGGGATCCCCTGGGGTCTCCCGTGGCCCTCTGCAGAGCCCTCTTCCAGAATCACAAGCGTGCACGAGACATTCTGTTCCCCCACACGCACCCCCGTCTCCCCCTTGCCCCAGCAGACAGCAGACTGAGCCCCGGCTCGTGAGGACGGGGTCTGGGCTGTTTCTCTGTGGGGGCCCCTCGGCCTGGTGCCCGTGCCAGGCGCACATGGCCTCCAAGAACTGAGTGGACGGCCCCGTCCCTCCCTCAGCCCGCTTTCCCAGGCCCTGTGGATGCCCTTGAACGTGTCAACGTCTGCGGGGAAGCCTGTACCAGGGCCTGGCTGCATGTGTCCAGGTGTGGGCGGCGCCGGGCCAGCGCTCTCGGGGAACGTCTATCCGTGAGCTGGCCACCACACAGACCTGAGGCAGCCGGGCCTGGGAACGCTCGGAGCAGCTGCATCAGAATGTTGGCCCCGGGTTTCGAAAAACAGAGTTCATGACAACTTGCTACAGCTTGAAGACAATAGTTATGGCCCCCCGTCCCGGGAGATTTGTATAAGAAAAACACAAGTTCATCATCTAAAAATGCGTTTACATCGCATTGCTAAGGTGGGAACAGTTTTCCGAAGCCTCTGTCAAGAATGTTAATTTTCCCAGAGCAATTTAAGCTCCATGCAAAATTAACCAACGGATGGGTCTCTGCTAAGCCCTCCAGGAAGCCGAGCCGTTTTCTCGCATCCTGAGGTCCCTTCCCGGGGCTCTGCTGCCCCCTCAGGTTACAGCCTCTCGCTCGGTCTACAGCTGGGGTCTCACGGTCCCTCGGCCCAAACCCTCCTGGTGGGCCCTGCCCCTGGGTGTCGGGCCCCCGCCCCGCCCAGGCCACTGTCCTCGCCCTACTGTGCCCACCTCTCCCCCTGGCAGGGCCCGAGACACCTGTCAGCCGCCTTGACAAGGGGTGGTCGTGGCCTGAGTCCAGGGGTGGGTTATTTTTAAGGAGCCAGTGGCAGCTGAGACGTCCAGAAATAGGCACCCGAATTAGCCAAGACACCTCTGCCCAGAAACCCAAGACGATGGGAGGGGGGACTGGGAAGGCAGCCCCCACTCAGGTCTCGGCCTGCGTCCCCGCCCCCGCCAACCCCCCGCCTGTCCCCGGGGCTGGGCCTCTTGTCTTCTGGGCCAGAGTCCCAGGGGCCGTGCAGGCGGGCTCCCGCATACCCAGGCAGGGTGTCCTACCCTCTAAAGAGGGAAACTGAGGCCGCTCTGGGCTCCTTTTCTTCCCAGCAAAGCCCTGGGGCTGACACCACGGGCTGCTCTGTCCCACCCGCCCTCCCCCTGAGAGGGGCCCAGGGTGCGGTGTGCTTGGGGGCAGGGTGGCATTTCGACAGCTGAGAAGGAAACCAGTTGTCCATTTAATGTCCTGCCCCCAGAGGGGCCATTGTGAAAACAGCCTCTGAGGTCACCGCTCCTTGGGGACACCCTCTCCTTCCTTCCTTCCCAAGTGACAAGATGGGGGCGGGGAGGCAGGAGGCCTTGCCGCTCGCTTGCTGTGGGCCCTGACCCTGTTCCCTGACCCTCGCCCCCCCCCCGCCGACATCCCATCTCCTCTCAGAATGATTGAGGGCACCAGAGAGGCTGCTGCCCGGTGAAGGCGCCCCATCCCATGACGTCAGGAGGGTCAGCTGAGCCCTGGTTCGAGGGGGCACAGGAAGGACAGGAGGGGCCTCCTGGGAGTTCGTGCTCCTCGCGTCCAGGCTGAGGTGGGACACGTCTTCCTTGGGCAGACAGGACAGACGCCCAGCTCCCCACCCCTCCCTCTGTCCCCCCCCAGCCCAGGCCCCATCCACTCCAGGCCTTGGCCTCTGGGCTGCTGGGGTCCCCGCCACCCCTCCCCCAGACCCACTCCTGCGGTGAACCCCACCAGCCACCGTCGTAGCTGTCGTCTTTACAGACGGCGGCGTTAGAGGCGGTGGCCGCTGGGCCGAGGGCTCCAGCCTCCTGGGAGAAGCTGGCCGAGGCGCCCCTCAGCTTAGCAGAGCCCCGTGGAAAGGCCGGGGCGGGGAGGGCGGCCGCACCGCAGCAGGTGGCCTCGAAGCCCTGGGCAGCGCCCCTTCCCGGCTTCTTCACCTCGAATCGTCACCGTTGTCTAGCCATCTGCCTTGGGACCACCCGCTCACCCCCGGGCCTTCCAGGGAGCCCCCTCCTTCCTCCTTCTTGGGCCTCCCCTGCCCCTGTACTCTGGTCTGGAAGGGCTTCCTCTGCCTCTGATGTTCAGAGAACGTCACCCCGCGATGCTAGCATGCCAGGCCGTTGGGACCCTGCGGTGGCTTCCTGGCTCTCCAGGACGCCATGCTTAAAGTGGCAAAGGCTAGGGCGGCACAGCGCCCTGCACCCGGGGCCCCAGGACGCACCCAGGCCCACCGGCACACGGCAGGCCGGCCCGGTCCCGGGGCTGCCCTCAGACGTACTGACCTGCGGCTGGGTCTGGAGAGATGGGCAGGAGCTCCCTGCGGACAGGACCGGCTCAGGCACTGCCCGCTCGCCGCATGCTCTCATGTTATAGTGACATTCGATCTTTCCCGGCAGCCCATTGGCCAGGGGCTGTGTGGCCCAGGTGCGTGGGACGGGCGGGAAGGGGCTGTGCCTTGAGGCCCCTTACCAAGTATAGCAAGAACAGAGGAGGGGGCGCAAGGAGGCGAGGATGGGGGGGAAGGAGACGAGGGCCGCCCCCCTCCCCCAGGAAGTGTCAGCTTCTATTTTTACTCTCTGACAGTGGGCACATTCTTCACGGGCGGAGGAGGGTGAAGGAGGGCATTGGGTGGCCCTAGGGAGGAAGCTGAGGGCTCTCCTTGGGCCAGGCTGGTGTGGGGTCCCCAGAGCTGGGGCCCCATCTTCCCCGGGGGAGCTGCCCCTCCCTCCGAGGTGTCTGCCCAGGAAAGGCATCTGCCCGGCCAGGCTGCATTACGCAGGCCCCAGGCCCCTCCGCCTCCCCATCACAGGCAGCGGCAGGAGGTCCCCGAGACCCCCAAGGATAGAAGACCCTGTGAGCCTTCGGCCAGGCCCTCGGCAGGTCCGAGCCCCACCGAGTGGTTCTCTGCGTGATGGCGTTAGGACATACAGCATAAATGGGCAACAGAAATACTAACTCAAGTCTGACTGGAGGGTCTGGCATCTCCCCAGTGGCTGGTGCCTCCCAACGCTAGGGGCCACACCTCTGAGGTCTGCCCGGGAGCTCACCGTGTGGGGGTCCTGACCCTGCAGGCCTCTTTCTCGCCACGGGCCAGGCTCAGGGTGCTGCCCACAGCGGGCTCCACCGTTCGCCCGTGGAGCCCAGTCTTTCTTTGCTCGGGACTCCAGGTGGCACCATCCAACCGGCAGACACCTCACCCAGGGCTTTCCATGGTCCCCACACTGGCCAGTGAGACCACGAGCTCCTACGCACCGCCCCCCCCCCGAATCAGGGAAACTGAGACACAGAGTAGGAAAGAGCAGCCCCAAGCCTCCTTCCGGACGTGGAAGGCTCCAGGCGAGGGGCTGGTCGGTCACGGATGGCGGGGGCCACGGATGCTGGCCTGATCCGGAGCAATGGCTGGTGGGCTGGAGTGCGGGACAGGGCTTGGCCCCAAGGAGACTCAGATGAAGCACCTGCCTTCTGGAGGCTTGGAGGCGTCTGGACGACCGGCTCTCACAGCCCAGCCCGGGCTTCCCCTGGCTCTGCACCCCACTCTGGGTCCCCAGAGCCTTCTGGAAGGTTTCTCTCAGCACCTCATCCAATTTCTACACATTGGAGACAAGGCTACGGGGACCCGAGATAGGCAGGGTGGGCCCACCGGCCACAGCAAGGGGAGCCAGAGCCCTGGGCCCCCAGTGGGCAGGACAGAGCCCCTCCCCAGAGCTCCTGGGGGCGGGAAGCCCCCCAAGGCCAGAGCTGCTGGGGCCGCTCCCGCCTCCCCTGTCGGAACTCTGAATTCCTCCTCCTGTCCAGGTCCTCGGATGGGAGAGCGTTTGACGGGCCACACGCGTGCCCGGCCCTCGGCTGACTCTGACCAACTTTCTGTCCAGTGGGGTCAGCAGTAGAGCCACTTCTGCAAAAGGCCCCCGAGCGGCTGCTGGGGCCGCCCCGGCCCAGCTCGTCCTCACGGTGGGAGCTGACAGCCCTTCTCAGGCTGGGGCCCCTCACTCTGCTAGAGTCACACACCACCCCCGCCCCCCGAGGGGCAGGTGCACGCGTGGGGAAGGCACAGCAGGCAGCGCTGAGTCTGGGGAGCCCCGTGTGCACCCGGCCCCGCCGACGGTCCTGGGAGCTGCCGGCCACACCTCCCACGGGCCTGGGGTGCTCTTGGGGGCTGCACCCACAGGTGGGCGCTCCATGGCCCTGCAGTGGCCCCACTCGGCCAGCAGAGGAAGGTGGCTGTCTGCTCAGTGGCCTCGGGCTCTGGCCAGCGCTGTCCCATGAGTGAGCTGAGCCAGAGTGAGGGCGCTGAGGTCAGAGGGATGGGGCAGATCTTATTTCGGGTATCGGCAGCCTACCCCTCGGGGTGCCAGGCCCGTGGTGCCGCAGGACAGCCTTGAGCGGGCACTGCTGGACGGGCTGCCGGCCGCCGAGGGCCTGCGACAGGTAATCCACACCCCGGTCCACCTGGCCGGGCTGGGCTAGGGTGGGAGGAGAGGGGGCAGGGCAGGGCAGGGCCGCCCCGAGGGGCTGGAGGGGGCTGGAGACCTGGGGTGGAGGCACGGGACTGGTCTCAACCCCAGGAAGGATTTGAGGGCTCCTGGGGCAGAGCCTCCACCTGGGGACGGTAGGAGTGGGGTGGGCTTCTCAATTCTGCAAAGCTGAGCTGAGCCAGGGAGCAGTGGGGAGGCCGTGGGGGCCCGGCCCCCCCAAAGATTTGCCTCTAGGTTTCTGCAGGGGTCACCTCAACCACCCTCAGGGTGGTGGGGAAGGGCAGGGGTCCCTCAGTCTTGGTCCTGGCCCGCAGTGTGCACGGTTGAGGGTGGCGAGGCCCAGGGACCCTGAACCTCGAACCTCGCCTGGTAGCCCTGAGCTGACCTGGGTGCCCGCGCCAGTGCCAGCCAAGCTCCCGGTAAGCCCGGCCCACGGGCTCGGGCGCTGCCAGGCCCCAGATAGAAGCCGCTGACACACCACTTCGGGGATGAGCCTTTCCCAGCCTGCGCTGCTGCCGCCCACACGCCCTGGGGGCTTCTGCGGGAGTTGTAATAGCTTCGCTCTGCGCAGGGCTGGCACCCAGTGCCTGCAGCAGGGGAGCAGAAGGGTGCCTGGCGGGGCCTCTCAGGCAGTCAGAACGGAGGGCAGAGGGCCAGCGCCCGGACAATGGCTCCCCTGAGCCTCTCCGCCTCTGTGGTGGGCAGGCCCTGACCCCCAGGTTCTGCAAGGCAGGGGCCGGTCGTCACCACCGCAGAGGAGACAGACCCTGGGTCCTTGTCCCCGAGGCGGGGCCGAGTGCCAAGGAGCCCGAGAGGGGCTGTGCTGGATCAGGGCTGAGTGGCTGGCTGCTCTCCTGGCACTGCCCACCCTACCCGCCACTCGCCCCTCAGTGCCGTCCACTCTGGTCCCCTCTGGCCGTCCAGTGGGCCACGTGGCTGCCTCTGCCTGCTGCCCTCGGCTAACGTCCCACCCAGCCAGGTGGACAGGAGGGGCGCGTCCCCTGGGAGAAGCTCCCCAGCTGGCAGAGCACAGCCCTGAGGCACCCTCAGAAGTGGGCCACAGGCAGCAAAGGTGTGACATAGCTGATTTCTAACACCTCCGGGCTGCCCATGTTCACGCTCCCCTTGGGAGGCAGCAGGAGTTTGACCACGAAGACTTTGGAGAACAGGTTCTGAGCAGACCCAGGCCTCGAATACCGAAGGTCTAGAGGGCAGCTCTTCGAAGGGGCTCCCCTGACTCCGAGGGCAGCAGGGCCTCATGTTAGCCCTGTGCACAGGCCGGGCGTGGGGGTGGGCTCGGGAAGAGAGCCCCACCCTGTCCCCGCCTTCACACGCGTGTCCATCCACCCACTGCACCTCCATTTTCACAGGTACATCCTCGCCGTCACTGTCTGTTTCCCTCCCTCCCTCCTTCCCTCCTGCCTTCCCCCCGTCCATCGCCCATCCATCCACCCCCACCAAGTGTCCACCCGCCCACCAGCCATCCACCCACCGTTCCGTGAAGCAGGCGTTGATCTGGCTGCCTCTCCATCTCTTCTCCTGTCTACTCTCTGCACAACTACTTTTCTGCCCATTGACCTCTCATCCCTTCTGCAGACCCACCCATCCACCTGTTCTTTAACTATCCACCCATCACCCAAGGATTCAACACCTCTCTTTCTATTTATACACCAATCCATCCTTCCACCCATCCCACCATCCACCCATCCATCCATCCACCCATCCATGCCTCCATCCCGTCATCCATCCATCTATCCAACCACCTGACCATCCACCATCCAGCCAGCCAGCCAATCACCTTCCCATCCATCCTTTCCTCCATCCCTGCATCCAGCCATCCTCCATCATCCACTCATCCGTCCATCCACCAGGTCTTCACTGAGCACCTCCTGGGTGCTGGGAAGGGATGACCCCAAGGTGGGGCTTGTACTCAAAGGGTGCACAGTCTAGGGGCACAGACCAGAAGTGCACGGTGTTTCAGGGGCTGCAGAGTTTATAAGGGGCCAGTCAAGGGCAAGTACCACAGTGGAAGAGGACGACTGAGCCCCCACCCATCACATTCACCCTGACTACCCTCAGAGACCCCAGAGCCTAGCACACAGAAGGCCACTGGACAGGACAGTGTCCAAATCTGAAGGCCAGAGGCCTGGGCCCTACCACGGTGCAGGGCGGATGGCCTTTCCAATGGGCCCTGCTCCCGGCCCCTCCCCCGTCAGTGAGCCCCAGAGAGCCAGCACGTGGAGACACCAAAGGGAGTTTACTGCACAAAGTGGAGGGCTGCAAGCGGGGCGGGGCGGGGGGGCCCAGTGCTGTTGTGGGTGTTGGTGGCTTTGGACACGGAGGCCCCAGCACGTGGCCTCTCTCTGCACCGGCTGCGCCTTCCCTGGGAGCTCGCAGCTTCTCTGGAGGTGGTCCTTTTGCCAACCAACAGCCAGAGTTCCTTTCCTCCCGGAACTGTGAGGGGCAGAGCTGGGGGTCAGAGGGAAAGGTTGGAGGGTCCAGGAGCAAGAGGTGACGGATGTCGGGGATGCTCGCGGGCCAGGCAGACCATGAGAAGCAGCTTCTTCGGCGGGGCCAGTGGGGGGCGGGGGGGCGTTCATCTGGCCGGCCTCTCCCCTGGGCACGTGGGTCAGGAGCCAGGAGGTGCCGCCGGCGGTGCTGCAGTCTTGGGAAAGCTGAAACACAGGTCGGGGGAGCATCAGGCTGCAGTCCGAGGAGGGGCCGTGGCTCTGCCTGTCCGGGCCTGCAGCCTCTCTCTGGGGGTCCCTGGCCTGCCCATCCCACCCCGCTCCCCCCAGCCCTGGAGGAGCAGCCTCCCTGCGACAGCCCCCGAGACCCTGTGTCCACCTCCGGCCTGGAAGCCTGCTTCCTGATACCACGCTCTGGTGCCCTGGGCCCTGCCGGGATTCAGGGTGGAGGGACGCTGCCTACTGCCTGTTTGCCAGCTGGCCTGACAGCCCCCAGGCTAACCCTGGGGTCCCGGCCCCCCCTCACTGAGGTGGGCAGCAGCCCAGAGCGAGCCCCAGCAGACCCCTCGGGCCCCTCCCTGAGCAGACGACGCACTCCTGCCTGACAGAGCCGGCCTCATGGCAGCAGCCCCCAGGCCTCCCTCCTCCCCCAGGCCGGCGGCCCTGGCTCGGCCCAGCCGCCATTTGTCAACGTCCTCGGGAGCACGTGGCGCCCAGAAACCAGGGCGGGCGGCTTGGCCAGGACCACCCCGCCGGGACGTCTGCGGGAACATCCCGTTTAGCGTAGCTCAGCGAAAACCGCTCCCACCTCCCACCCCGTCTACCTCTGATGATGCAGCCGCAGCCCTCCCGAGCCTCTGGCCGCCACCTCTCCGCTGGCTCGCAGCGGACGCGCCTGTGGTCAGGCCGGCGACAGCAAGGCGGCCCTCACGCTTGCGGGCGGGCACTCTTCCTGCCCTCGCAGGCGGCTGGCCCAGCACGTGCCTCCCGCTTGGCGCCCGCCTGTCCGTCTCCCGGCCCCCACTGTGCACACGGGCGGCACCCGGAGCCAGGTCCCAGCCCTCCTCCGTCACCCACAGAGCACCTCGGGCCTCCGTGGGCTCGTTTCTAAAGCGGAATGATGGTGGGGCCGCCCCATGGGCGTGCAAACGCTCATGCCTGGAGCGCGTGTGGCAGGGGCCACGTGCTGAGGCAGCAGAGCTTCTGACGGTCAGGCTGCAGGCCCTCTGGGCCTGGGTCCTCTGCGTGACTAGGGGCTGTGTGCCCTCCCGCAGGGAGGCGGCCTGTGGGGAGGAGGGTTGGGCCCACGGCTGTCCCTCCCGCCCGCCCTAGGGTGCAGCGATGCTCACCTCGGCTGCCTCCGTGGCCCCTGAGATGGCTGGCCGGCGACCCCCGGGGCCCCCGGGACCCCCCCCACCGCTGCTGCCCAAGCCCGGGAAGGACAACCTGCGTCTGCAGAAGCTCCTGAGGAAGGCAGCCCGGAAGAGGACGAGCAGGGCCGGGCCGCCTGCCCCGCCCGGGCCTTTCCGCACGTCCTTATCCCCCGTGAGCGAGGCCGGCCATGACCAGGAGACCCCGGCCCCGCGGCCCGCGGAGGCGCCGCGGGCGGTGGCCACCCTGCCCTGCTCCCCCCACACCCGCGTCATCCACCACGTGGCGTCCCCCCTGCAGAGGTCCACGTTCTCCATCAGCCTCACCCAGCTCAGGAGCCTGGCTTCACGCTCCAAGCCCACGGGGCCCCGGCTCGCAGCCCCGGTGCCAGAACCCGCCCAGTCCCCCTGCGGCTTTGCCCAGGTCTCAGGCCCCACCATGAGGGGCACCCACAACAGCCAGGTGCACTTCCGCCGGGCACCGTCCCCACAGGCTGGGACCCCTGCGCCCTCCCCAATGGCCCCGGATGGTGGGCCTGGCGACCGGGCCCAGGGCACAGCCATCCGCCCTCCCAGGGCTCAGCCCCTGCTGCCTGTGGTCTGCATCCACTCACTGCCCGCCAGGGCCCAGGCTGCCAGCCCTCGGCACGGCGAGCCCTCTGTGCCCAGGCCGGCCCACGGCTTCCAGGCCTCAGGGCCCAGAGAGGCCAGCAGCCGGGTGGTGGTGTCCGTTGCCCCCACCTACCGCTCACCAGGACCCTCGCCTTACAGGCCGGCCTCTGAGGCCCCCGAAGCCGGGCACCGGGAGGACCCCGCCCCGGCCGGCCCTGCGGCTGAGGCTGAGCAGGTCTCCAGCCCCCGAGAGGCCTCATCCCCTGCCCCACCGTCAGGCACCCACCCGTGCCCTGTCCCCAAAGTCGCGCCCAAGCCCCAGCTCAGCGGCTGGACACGCCTCAAGAAGCAGCTGCTGGAAGAGGCCCCCTTCCCGGGGCCAGAGCCGAGCCCGGGGCAAGCGGGGCTGGGAGGGGCAGCCCCCACTGACTCGGCGCCCCGGCCGGCCCCCGCCTCACGGTCCTCCAGGATGTGGGACGCAGTGCTGTGCCGCATGTCAGTGGCAGAGTCCCGTGGCGGCCAGGTGGGGCCCCGGGATGGGGTGCGCGCCCCGCCTGGCCTCAGCCGCCTGCCCTTCCTTTACTGGCCCCGCTTCAACGCCCGGAAACTGCAGGAGGTGGCCGCCCAGCCCCCTCCCATGCACTACCCCATCCCGGCCCTGAGCCCCCAGCCCCAGAACTTCAATCGTTCGGCAGCTGGCTGGAGGCCCCAGTGAATGGCCGGGGGGGACCCCAGGACCGTGGGGGGACAGAAGAGGGGCTGAGGGTCCAGCTGGAAAGCCACAGCCACAAAGGACCGTGGTGGGAGGTGGACGCGGCCGGGAGCAGCTGGGATTAGGGAGGCGGCGGGTTTGGACGGTGTGGAGGGGCAGGGAGGGCTCTGCACTGGGGTGGGGGGTGGGGACTTCTGGGGTGAACTTCTGGGGAGACAGACCGTACACAAGTCTGCTCTGAGGCTGGGGCTGCATGCGTGACCCTGCGGGGCAGGGCCGGCCTGAGTGTGCGCACAGGGCTTGGGGCAGGAGTGCAGGAGGTGGTCACCAGCGAGACCCTGCCTGGGTCCAGGGAAGCTGCAGGCGGGGATCAGGGCCCAGCGGAGCCCCACATGCTCTGGGTGACGAGCCCTGATGATTGACAGGATGAGCAGGATTCTGGGGCCCCGGCCCTTCTGCCGAGAAAGGTTGGGGGGACGAGCTATGCTGTCGTGCAGAGTGGGAGTGGTCGGGGTGACTCAGTCGCAGGCACCGTGGGCTCCGTTAGCTGCATCGGCGGCTTGGCAGCCGCGCCTCCCAAGGACAGAGGCCCGACGGGTGCGGGGAGCCAGGTCCAGGCCCGGGGGGGAGCTGGCCCCACACCCCTGCCCCTTCACTGCCACCTCTGCTCCCCCCGCCTGGGTGCAGAGCTTGAGGGGGACTCGCTGATGGGAGACAGAGGGCTGGGGTCTCAGCCTAGATGCTGGATGAGGAGGGAGGTCCGAAGTCAGCCTGGCCAAGTGGCGGGGGGGGGGGTGGCCCGGAGGGGGCAGCGATGGGGACCCCCAGTCTGCACTCAGCTGGGGTCTGACTCGGGACAAGCACTGGGGCCCAGATGGGGCAGCCGTGCTACGAGGCGGACACGGAGGTGCTGGGGGGAAGCTCCAGCCGCAGCCCCCGGAGCAGGACTCAGAAGGGAGGAAGCCGTCAGGAGGGGACATGATGGATGTTGTAAACGGATCCCGGGACCCAGGCCGCTAATAAAAGTGTGCGTAACTGTAACCATGGCAGCGGGTCACCTTTCTGACTCCTCACCAGGTGCCGGGGTGGGAGCGGCTCCTCACTGGGGCAGGAGGGCGAGGACAAGGTTCTGGCTCCTTTGAAACCCTCACAGCCCACTGCCCGGTGGGAACCTGAGCTCCCGGGGATCCGTGTCAACCCCCTCCTGCCACGCTCACCCTGTGGTGGCCAGGCCGGGCTCACCTGCCCGAGGAGCCCGGCTGGGAGATGGGGGCCTCCTCCCAGCAGGGAGCCTGCGCTTCCCTGTGGGCTACAGGAGCAGGGCAGGAACCAGGGGATGGTGGGGTGGGAGGGGGCACGGGTCTGTGGACTGGAGGACCAGCAGAGACGGGCTGTGGCCAGCTCTGAGGCCGGGCATTCAGCCCTCACATGTCACCTCGCAGTCCCTGCCACCACCGCGCACCCAGAGCGGCGAATTCTGCCCACGACACGTCGCGCTCTGGCCGCCGCCCCCGACTCACCGAGAAGGATGGCCTAGGGCGCCGAGCCCTCGTCCACGAGCACTTTCTCGTACTTCCCGTGTCCAGTGGCCACAAACTTGTACCTCTTCGCAGACGGGGTGCTCTGTCGGGGAAGGAGGTGGAGAGCAAAGGTGAGAGGCGCAGGGGGAGGTGGCGCTGCCTCTTGGAAGCCTCCCCAGGTGCGCTGAGGGCAGCTCCCCTTCCCCTCGCCCGCTGGACCCGCCCTCCCGCATCAGTCACATTCCGACTCTACCTTGAGCATCGGCGAAGCCTTGGGGCCTCCCTTCTGCTCCCAGAGGTTCCTCTTGCTCAGGTCTCCAGCGACAATATCCTGCGGGCAGAAGGCAGCCACGTCACAGGGGCAGAGCCCTGACTTGGGGGCTTGGAGCCCTGGTCACTTCTCCTGCCTGGCCTCGCAGGGCCAAGGCCCCGGGGCCCGCACACCTGCCTCCTTGGGTGACAGCCCAGGGGAAGAGGCCGGGAAGGGAAGGTGACATGGTCCATCTTCACCTGGCCCAGCAGCCTTCCCACCCAGCCCTCCACAGGAGCCAGCCTGGCGGAGACCCCGTCCCCCATGCACCACAGTGCCCTCTGCCCACACTTCAGCCTGGACAGTCTCACGCTAGCCTTCCAGAGGGAGCCCAGCCGTGCCCCAGGACGGGAGCCTACCTTACAGGTGGGGGACTTGGCGGAGGACTGAGCCTGCACCTCTCCCGTCTCCCAGCGACTCTTGGTGCTCGCCACGGCCATGCTGGGCAGCTCGATGGACGGCTGGCGGGCTAGCTTTGGGGTCCGGCCAGAGGTCTGCAGAGGAGACAGAGCCCAGGACCACTTTACTGGACAGCCACATGGAACACATCAGAGAGGCCTGTGTGAGCCGCTCCGGCACACAGATGACGTCCTCTGTGTGGTTGCATTCCCCCAGGACTGCTTATCCAACGCAGGGCTGGAAGAAGGCGCTCTGGAAAAACGTGTCTTCCTCCCCTCGGTGTACTTGTGAAACACCGCCCTTGCTCTGCAGAGCACAGGTGATGGGTGAGATACGAGACAAATGTGGGGCTGTCCTCGTGCTGCCCCTGGCACAGGGTCGGAGGAGCAGGGGTTGAACGGAAGGGTGTTGGTTGGATGGAATGATGGCTGGATGGAGGGGAGCTAATTGGATGAAAGTGGATGGAGGGGTGTTGGTTGGAGGGAGTGGTGTTGGTTGTGTAGAGGAACATTGGTCAAACAAAAAATAGTGGTTGGATGAAAGGACATTGACTGAATGGAAAAACATTGCTAGGATGGAGGGGTGTTGGTTGGATGGAGTAGTGTTGACTGGATGGAGGGGTGTAGATTGGATGGAAGAGTGTTAGTTGAATAAAAGGGTGTTAGTTGTTGGATGTGGGGGCGTGTAGGATCAACGGAGGGACCCTGGTTGGATGGAGTGGGTTGGTTGGATAAAGGGGTGTTGGCTGGATGGAAGAGTGCAGGTGAAAGGACAGGAGTTGGTTGGATGGAGAGACACTGGTTGGCTGGAGAAATGGGTGCATGAATGGAGGAGGCCCTGCAGAAGCGGAGGGGCCTGTGCGCACCTCGATGGCCTGCGTGTACTGCTCCAGCCTCTCTTCAATCGTGGAGATGGGCAGGGCTGGCTGGGACTTCTTCATGCTGTTACTGGAGGAGAGGAGAAGGGTCATGGCCCAGGCCCCCTCACTCAGCTTCTATGCCCACCCTGAGCTCCTACCAGAGCTTTCTCGGGCCCCCAGATCTCCACCTACTGGGTCCCCTCTTCAACCCTCCCTTGGAGATCCCCGAGTCCTGCCTGGGAAGCAACCAGACGTACCTCTTCTGAATGGAGCGGTGCAGGGACTCAGTTCTGTCGCTGAGCTGTGGAGGGCGGGAGGAGACTGAGCCTCCGAAGCCAGAGCAAGGCCCCCAGCCCACCCCTCCCAGCTGCTCCCACCCGCCAGTCCCATTGCCCAGTTTATGCGTTTCACAAGGCTCTGCTGAGAGCCAGCCTGGCAGAGAAGGAGGCCGTGCTCCTGTCCTGGAGCTGCCCTGTGGCTGCCTCTCTGGGACTGTCATTGGTCATGAGTCCGGGACAGAGGACTAGGCTTTGGGGCTTAACCTACTTTGGTGCTGGGGCTCAGGGGAGGCGAGCCCGGGTCCGTCCCCTCCAAGACCAAGGGGCTGGGCGTCCTGCGCTGCTGGCATCTCTGGTGCTGGGAACAGAACGTCTGCGGTTACGGGGTCTGAATGATCGCCCCCTTTGCACCCCTCCTGCCCCACCCAGGACTGGTTGAAGGAAACACCTTCCCCTCCCTGGGCCTCAGGTCCTTTCCCGCCCTGCCATTCTCTGGTTCTGGAGTTCTCGGCAGCAGGAGCTGGCGTTCCATCAGGCAGGGTTACCAACCCCACCGCCCTCTGAGACTGCGGGGGTGCTGGCTCCCTCCGGGCCCATCCCACGAAGCCCGCAGAGCATGCAGGTAGCAGAGACAGATGCAGCCCGGGGGCCGGGGTGTGCCCAGACCCTTTGGGAAGCCACCGGCACCTGCTCATCCTCTTCCTCCTCGGTCTCTGCCAGCCCTGGGCTTCCCTGGACGGCTCCCTCGGGGCCGTTGGGCTCTGTGTCCTCTGTTCCCGGCCCCTCCTGGGGCTCTGAGTCGGGGCTCAGACGCAGCTCCTCCAGACAGACCCCGGCTGGGGTCAGCTCGTCGCCACCCTGGCTCCCAAAGGCGTGCTGGCGGGGCCTGTGGCGGGGAGGGGGAGGCAATCCAACAGGTCGAAGGTCACTTGATCACTTCGAGTCCCTTCCCGTTTCCAAGCCTCAGTTTCCCCATCTGTAAGATGGGCAGTCAGACCAGTTAAGCGCCCAGGAATCTCAAGACCCCGGCCTCTTTGGGGAGGTGAGCCCAAGGCCTCAGAGCCTGCCCTCTGTCGCCAGGGCCATGCGACCAGTGCCCACTGAGGCTAGGCCCGGGCTCCAGGCCCTCAGGACCAGCCCTGGCCCGTGTCTCGCCTGTTGGTGTCCCTGCTGGCTGGCCTCCTGGCGCCGGGGCCGCCTGGGCCCCCTGCTCCCGGCCTGCTCCGGGTTGGGGCGAGCGGGCCTGGGCGGCAGGTGGGAGCTAGGTGGGGTCTGAGGCTTGTCTGGGGGCTGGTCAACTGAGGGACAAGGCAAGGGCTGGGGTCACAGAGAGGGCCGCAGCCGCGAGGAGCAGGGCAGACCAGGCTGGCTGTGCGGGGCGGGGGAGGCCAGCCGCTGGCAGCCTGCGCGACTCTGCATTGGAGCGGGACTGACCCTGGAGAAGAAGATGGGAAATTCTCGCATTTTCCATGATTTCAGGCCCCTCGGTGTTCGTGCCAGCCAAGACGCAGACCACCGCCCAAGGTGGGCCGGGGTCCGAGCCAGCGGCAGGCTCACAGAGGGCCCGTTCAGCTGGGCTACAGGAGGCCAGGCAGGTGCGGGGGGCAGGGAGGCCTGGCGAGAGCAGGAGGGTCCACAGAAGAGCTAGAGTGCCCCCTGCTGTTGGGCGGCCAGTTGGGGACAAAGGGAACAGGACCGGCAGGGCTGCAGCCATCCCAGCGCCAGTGGACGGGCCACCCTGCTGCCCCCGCCCCCCGCCCCCAGCTCAGAAACGCAGAGTGTGCTCTGACCCCCAGAGACAAATGGGGGAAACTGAGGCCTGGAGGGCGGCCGTGGGCAGAGGGCCACGCCAGGAGCAGGGCCCCGGCCAGGCAGCTGGCTCTGAGCGCGGATGGGAAGGGGTGGTGGAGTGATGGGAGGGGTCTTAGCGAGAGCTCGGGGCTGCTTCAGGGGCCTTGGAGGGGACGGGAGGTGGCCAAGAGGGGCTCCGGCGACCCTCGAGGCCACAGGGCCCCGAGCCTGGAGCTCCCGAGCGGAGCTGGGCCCCTGACCCCGGCCTGTGGGGTGCTGAGAGCGGCTCAGACCCCCGGGGTGGGGGCGGGTGAGGCCCCAGAGCAGACCCCAGCCCAGGGCCCCTCCCCCTGCCTGCCCTGGTTCAGAGCGCCTGCACATCTGGAAAGCTTGTCCCCCCAGGCCGACTGGCGGCCGCACATCTGGAAATACCTGCTCCCCTCCGTGGGAATGGAGCTCGCTGCCCCGGGGGAGGAAGGGGCGGCGGCGGGGGCGCAGGGCCTCCCTGACGTCAGTGGGCTGCAGATGTGCTGATGGAGTAACCGCCCGGCGGCCGCAGCTGGTCTGGACGGGCCGGGGCCCTGGGGAGCCCAGCAACGAGATTCCTCCCGTCCCACCCGCGGCACCAGCACCCCCGCCGCCGCCCTCCTGTCTCGTTCTCTTCCTCCTTCCCCCCCTACGGCCACGGGGGCATTTTGGGGGGCCACTGGGGTGGCGGGAGCGGAGGGAGTCGCTCGGACACACGTTGGGGGCTTGGACAGAGCACCCCTCCTCCACGCTCTGACCCCCACTTGCCTGTCCTCCTCCTGCCCCCCCTCCGGACTCTCGCCCTGAGGGGGGGCCCCACCGTCCACGGTCTCCCCAGCCCCGCGGTGCTGCCGCCGCTCCTCCGGCTTCTGGGACCAGTCGCCGAAACCCTCGTCCTCGTCCAGTTCAGGGCCCTCCGAGGGCTTCGGGCTGAGGCTGGAAGAGCAGGCACATTCTCAGGGCTGGGCCAGATGCGGGGCAGGGGGCCGACCCCCCACCCCCACCCCGTCCACAGCGCCTCCCTCTCTCACACCCTGGGCTCCAAGTGCGGGAGACCCCATCTGCCCCAGGGGCAGCACCCCACGGCCGGGCCGAGGCCCCCCCATTGTCAGAGAATCCCTGAGGGCAGGACTGTGCCTCCCCCACAGACTGCAGCTACCTGAGGCCAAGACTGGGCCACGCCCTATTAAGCCAGGGCTCCCCAAGAACAGGGCCACGTCTCCCCGCTCAGCCTGGGGCTCCCCGAATGCTGGGCTGTGTCTCCCCCGCTACCTACGGCCCCCGCGGGTGGGTGCCGAGTTTCCCTCTGCTGTCCCGCCTGAGCCCTGCACCCTGTCCCCCATGGCGGGCCTGTGCTCCGGTGGTCCTTGCCTGCCCCCAGTCCCTGCCTGCTAGGCTGGGGACCTGGCCCGAGGGGCCTTGACCGCTACAGCACCCCACTCCACCCAGAGCTGCTGACTCGGAGAAAATGGAACAAAACAGGGCCTGGGGGAGGGGGAGCGTTATTGGAAAAACAGCCCAGCCCAGCTACAGAGGCCTCCCGGGCCCCGCGAGGGAACAAGCCGGCCCTCGGCCCGCCAAGTTGGATGTGGCCTCAGTGAGTCACAGACGGCAAGGACTAGGGCAAGGGGCTCGGGGGCCAGGGCCCCACAGCTGCGCTCGGAGTCGGTCCAAGCAAGGGGGACCACGCAGGGTGACCAGGGCCGGAGTCGGGACCCCGGGAGGCTGGCCGGTAGGGGGCGGCTCCACACGTCTCCGGCCAGGTGTCCGGCAGACTCCGCTGGCACCTGGGGCTGTGACGACCGACACCCTAAGGGCACCCCCACCCCCGGCCCGGGTTCCAGGGCTGGGCCCCTCCCTCCTTGTCTCAGCTGCTCTGGGGCCTCCAGCCCAGGGCCTGACCCCGCGGCAGCCCTCTGCCCAGGGGCGAAGGACAAGTGAGCTGGCAGTGTCGGCTTACAGCTTCTCCTGCTCTAGCTGCTCCAGGGACTGGCCTCCTTCGCCCTCATCCTGGGCCCGAAGCTGCCAGGCCCTCTCCTGCTCGCGCTGCCCCCGGGCGGCACCCTCCTCTCCTTCCACGCTCCACTGAGTGGCGAGCCTGAGGGACACGGAGAAAGAGTCAACACCGGGGCCCGTATCCCACTTCCCCCGTCCGAGCAGGCCCCAGCAAGGCCTCTCTAGGCCTCAGTTTCCCCATCTTTAGAACAGAGATCTTGAAGGGTGGTCGGGAAGGGGTGCTCGGGTTGGGGGAGGTCCCAGGGTGCTGTTGGTCTCTGGGCGCCCACGTGCCTCCCGGTGATGTGGGGGCCCCTGGGTCAGACAGGCCTGGGGAAACCCCAAGGATGGGACCAGACCCTCCATCCCCTTCCAGCAGGCTGGATCCCTGGACCTCATGGGAGCCAGGACACTGGCTAGTGTAGCTTTGGCCCCAGGCAGGGCCCGGAGGCTACAGGAAGAGCCGGCTGAGGTGCGGAGAGCTGGCTGTGGCCGCTGGACAGCTGGGGTCACTCATTTGTTCTACCTGAGTCAAGCGGCTGTAGCCTCGGCCACTTGGGCGCTGGTGGCCTGGGCTGAGGTCAGGCCCAGGCGGCCCAGCTAGGCAGCCACGCCCCTAACGCGACCATCCCAGCAGGGGCGATCCTTCCTGCCCCACAGGAGCACCGTGCTGTGGGAGACGGCGGCCCTGCTGGAGGACCCGAAAAGGGCTCTCAGCTCACCCAACACCGCCCCCGCCCCCGGCCCCCGTGCAGCGTCTCTCCGGGCTGTGCTGTCAATGGGGAAACAGGCCCACGCAGAGGCAGGCGCAGGGGACCTCACTCCCACACTTCCTGGGGTTCCTCCCTCGGGTCCACACAAGGTCGGTCTGAGACCGGGGGTCCGGGGCCAGACGATCCTAGCCCCGGCCCAGCAGATCTCAGGCTGTTGGCACCTGGTGGGCACCGCAGGCCTCGGCCAGCTGGCACGGCCTGCCACCCCAGCTCCCCCAGAGCCCGGGAGCGGGGTCCTGGGTCTCCGTTCCACAGCGCTCACTGCCCCGAGCTGGGGTCTCAGCCCCTTCCTGCCGTGTCCCCCGCCTGACCCCGCAGCCCGCTCCTTCAGGGCCCCCGTCCCCTGGCCAGGGTGGGCCGGCTCTGTGGTCTCGGCAGCCGTGCCAGCACATGATCTAATCTCTCCTAGGTCTCCTCGGAGCCTCCCAGACAAAAGCCAGGCCCCTCCATAGCCCCAGCTCGAGGCCCACTCCCCCCGCGGCAGCCACACGGGACCCCAGCCACGCAAACCGAACCGCCTGCTCAGCCCTCGGCACCCCCAGTCCGCCCCCCGCCCCGTGCCGCTCCTCAGAAGCGACTTTGACTCCCACCCCCTCCCCACCCGGGCCCCAGGGAGCCACTTAATCCCCCACACCTGGCTCCCATCAGCGTCCTGCTCCAGGCCCTCGGCTGGGGGCTGGGGGCCACGTCCTGTCTGGGGAGGAAGAGGCTGGGGTGATCTTGGGGATGTTGGGGACCTAGGGTCCAGGGCTCCTCCCCACATGAGCACCAACAGCCCCTCCAGACGGAGGGCAGAAGCCTAGCAGGGCAGTGGGGGGACAGAAGGTGCCCACAGCCTCTCCTGGGGGCGCCCGGGGGGATTCCTCCAAGGGGTGAGACCAGCACTGCACCCCTTTCACTGCCATGTCCAAGCTGCACACGCCGATGGCTGTGTTGGGCATTTGGGATTTTTTTAGCCAATATGTGGGGGTGTGTACACGGGCCCCAGTGGGATGTGTGGTGGGCCAGGTGGGGCCTCTCTCAGGACGATAGCTCCTGCCCCCCAGGCCCCTCCCCCAAGCCCCGGGGACCCTTCCCTGGCACAGCTGAGTGCAGAGGCCACACGGCCTGGTCAGCCCACCGGTAGGGCGATGTGTCCCGGCCAGCAAAGCCCCACGCAGGCCTGCACTCAACCGCGCAATGCACAGTGGGCCTGGCACACACACACACGCACACACACACACCAACACACACACACACACGCACACGTGGCAGGAATGCACACGTGTACGTACGCACTTTCTCCTGAGCCCCACTCAGGCCCACGTGGGCGCACACACCCACACTCCACGCACGGGTCCCAATGCCCCCCACCAGGCACACTTGTGCACACACGTGTGCACACGGACGTCCATGTGCTGACAGAGTCGGGCAGGGGAGCAAGGTGAGGGCAAGGTGGCAGCCCAGGCCCCGGGCTGTCCAGGGGGCCCCAGCACTGTTTAGTGTTTTCCTGCCGTCGTCCTGACAACGCGCCTGGCCAGAGGCCAAGGCATGTTTTCTGAGAACATTGCTCCTGAGGAGCTGGCCCCTCTGAGGGCCACCCCTGCTCCCCGCCGTCTGCATGTGACCCCCGAGCCCTCGGGGCAGGGAGCTCAGGGGGGCCGGAGCAGGGTAGCAGGGTAGGGGTCTCGCCACAGCCCCACACTGGGAGAGGCTGCGCTGGCCCCCAGCCCCTGACCCGGCGGCCCAAGGACGGAGCCGGCTCAGCCCCTTTCCTCTGGGCCTCCTCCCTTCCCGCCCGCCTGCCCCAGGATGTGAGTAATGCGGCCCCTCCTGGCCCCTCCCATGACCTCACCCCCTCACTGTTCCACAGCTGGGTTTCGTTCTGGGAACTGAGAGGGGGGCGGCTCTCCTGGGGTGGGGTGGGGGCCTCTGGCCTGGGAAAGGCGCCCCCGGCCGGCGGCCCAGACCCCTTGGCACGCTCGGCGGAGCTGTCAGGATGCTGGCGTCGGCTGGCCGGCCCGCCCGTGGCCCTGGCTCAGCCCGTGCGCAGCTGCGAGGGATTTGGTGTTCCTGCACAAATGCAATTATCTCTTTCCTGCGTCTGCTCTGGCTCCGGGCGCGCCCAGGGTTCAGCCCCAGGGGCTGCTGAATGGGCTCTGCAGCACCCCCCGTCACGCTCCAGCGTGGCGCCTCACCCCACCAGGTACACGAGTGCGCACAGACCCCAACGGGCCGGCTATGGCCCCCCGTCCTCAGTTGGGCTCCCCAAGCTCAGGGGCTAGCCCTGCTGAACACGTCTACCGCCTACTGGGCCCCTCCTCTCCTTCCTCTGCAGCCCCCCAGTCTCCACCAAGGCTTCGATGGTGCCAGTCCTGGGCCCGGTCTGGCCCTCCCCGTGGTCCCAACCTCCTTCCTCCCCTGCCCTGTGGCGGTTCCAGAGGGGGCATCAGGCCTCGGTCCCATCTCGACTCTGCCCCCTGCAGGCAGCTCACGGCCACCCCACCTGCTTCTCGACGCTGAAAGCTTTTCAGCCTTCTGGAAAGAGCTTCGGGGCTCAGCTGGGGGGCCGGAGCCCAAGGGAGGACCGGCCTGCGGGCCAGGCCAGAAGTGGGGAACTTCCCCTTGAGACCTGCAGGGCACCCTCCTGGCCATTGTCCCCTGGATACCACGGGCAGGAGCTGGCTGGGAGGCCTGGGGAGCTGGGCTGGTCACCCAGCCGGAGCAGGGGGCCCCTGTCTCCTTGTGACCATCAAGGTGTCCAGTCCCCTCCCGTGCCCCCGCCCTGGGGTCTTGTACGCCAAGGTGGACATCTGCAGAGCAACCGGCGCCTCAAGTGACCACAGAGCCCACGCGTGAAGGGACGGGGTGTGGGGGGACCCGAGCCCCAGAGAGGCCACCCAGCCTGGCTGCCGGGGCTGGGGGACAGCACGCACCCCCCACCACCTCAGCTTAGAGCAGCCCCCGAGCGCAGAGACTGGGCCCCGCCGGGAGCTCAGGAGAGGGCAGTGGTGCCTGGGCAGCACCCGCACCCCACAACTCAAGGGGTGCCCCTCACTGGTGGGCAGCGTGGGTCCCGCCCAGGCAGCCCGGGGGAGGGTCCACGGCGGGCACCGGGATGCTGGCTGTCACTCATCTGTGCAGTGAGGCAGCTGTGAGGGGTGAGCCAGGCACAGAGATGGCCCCGAGCGAGCAGGTGGGCAGCGGGCGGGGTGGCAGAGGGTGTGGGCACGGGAGCCGCGGCTGCTGGGAACCTGGCCACCGCCCCCCTGCCCTCCCGACTGCCCTGGCACTGGTCCAGCCCCCCTCCCGGCCCACCCCCCTTCAGCAGTGCCTTCCTGGGCGTGTCTGTACCCCACTGGGTGTCTTATGCCAGGGAGACACCCCACAGGGCAAGCCCCACCCCACTGTCCAGGGAAGCTCAGGAATCGAACTTGAACTTGAGTCTGAAAGATGAGCCTCAGAGGCTGAGGGCAAGAGCAGAGGCAGGGCCAGCGGGCGGGAGAGCTCCCAGTGGTGCCCCGCCTCCCCCGTGGGGTGTCCCCGGGCGAGCCCATGCCAGCACAGGTGCCGTCAGATCAGCATTTGGGAGGGAGGCCCAGCTGGGACGTGGAGAAGGGGGAGATGCCGGCTGGGGGCGGGGGGCAGTTAGGGGGGAAGCTGCAGCCTGGGTGCTGCAGGGGCAAAGGGACAGGAGGGGAGAGGTGGGCACCTGGGAGGGGTCCGCCTTGTGAGGGGGCGGTCACTGAGTTGAGCTTGGACGTGCGGGGTGCGTGGAGACCTCGGGGAGATAGTCAGTAGGAAGGAACGGCAGGTGGGGAGGGGCCCGGCTCACCTGGGGATGAATAACCTCTAAGGGAGCCATGGGGACCCCGAGAGGGAAAGGCTGGGGGGCACCAAGCCCCTAGGGGCTCTAGGCCAGAGGTTCCCTCTGGTTTCCCTTGCTCCGCCCCCTCCCCGCCCTGCAGGGCACCCCCAGGGCCTGCTGTCCAGGGGGGCGGTCACAGGGTCAGCCTCCACTGGGGGCCTCGGGGTCCCCCTCTGCTGGGGGTGTGGGAGTGCCAGCTCTTCCAGAGTCCTGTGGGGCAGGACTCAGGGGCAGAGAAGGACCCGGGAAGATGGGGTGCAGAGGCTAAGCTGTGGGTCTGGGGGAGACCAAAGTTTCCGAGCAGGGGAGAGGGTGATTGGAGGGGACCTGAGGTGGGGAGCCCGTTGCCATCCTCGGGGTGACCCGATGAGGCCCGCAGGGACGGGGCGTGGAGGGGCAGGAGGGATGGCTGTCAGTCACCCCGGCAGGAGGGAGGGCCCAGGCTGCCCGGGGAGGGGCCGCTGCTGGGCCTGGGAAGCAGTC